CACACTGTTATTCATAACAGCCCAAAGTAGAAATAACCCAAATGTTCAACTGATGAATGGATAAACAAAATGTGGTACAACCCTACCAGGGAATTTAATTTTATTCAGCCATTAAAAAAAGACTGAAGTATTGATACATGCTACAATGTGGATGAACCTTGAAAACGTTATGCTAAATGAAAGAAGACAGGCATAAAAAACACTTATTTTATTATGCCATTTATATCAATATGAAATGTCCATAATTGGCAAATCCATAGAAACAGAAAGCAGATTAGTAGTTGCCACAGGTTGGGAGTGGGGAGGGATAAGGAATGACTGCCTAATGAGTACTGGGTTTCTTTTTGAGGTATTGAAAATGTCTGGAATTATATGGTGGTGATCGTTGCACAACACTGTGAATACACTGAAAGTCACTGAATTATACGCTTCAAGATAGTTTAAATGAATTTTATGTTAGAGAATTTCATCTCAATTTTTTAAAAAACTACATGAGGTAACCAGTTCACACCCAGTGAGTGACAAGGATGTTTAACAACTGGGACTCTCATACATTGCTGCAAGGAACAGTTACTAAAACCTTCTGTAGTTTCTCACCATGTTAAACATTCAGTAAACATATGATCTATCAATTCCAAGAAAAATAAAAGCCTATGTCCAGAAAAAGACCTATATACAAATGTTCATAGCAGCATTATTCATAATAGCCCCAAATTAGAAATAACCCAAATATCCATCAAGAGGGGATGGATAAACTGTGCTATATTCACAGAATGGAATACTACTCAACAATAAAAAGGAATGGACTACTGATACATGTAGCAACATGGATGAATCATGAAAATATGTTATGCAAAATAATGGAGATGCAAAGCATGCAAAACAATGGAGATGCAAAGCATACAAATTACATGATTCCATTTATATGAAGCTGAAATACAGGAAAAATTATTTATGATATTAGAACTCAGAAGAGTGGTTACCACTGGTGGGAGAAGGGAGATTGGAACAAGGAGTGAAATAACTTTCTGTGGTGACAGAAATGTTCTTTATTTTGATGGGGGGTGATAATTACATGGATATACATATTTGTTAGAACTCATCAATTCGTACGCTTAAAATGGGTGCACTTTATTGTATGTGGATTATAAAACATACTAGAAATTTTTTAAACTTACATGATGAGTCTTAAAGTAAACAAGTCTCACTGGGCCTAGCCCATTGTAGGTGCTCAATCAATACAAAAGGAAAGAAAAAAGTGGGCTAGGAAGGTAGATTGTTTTATAACCATGGCTGGGAGTTCCCTCGTGGTGCAGTGGTTACGAATCTGCCTGCCAATGCAGAGGAAACGGACTTGATCCCTGGTCCGGGAAGATCCCACATGCTGCGGAGCAACTAAGCCCGTGCACCACAACTACTGAGCCTGCGCTCTAGAGCCCGTGCTCTGCAACGAGAAGCCACCGCAATAAGAAGCCCGCGCACTGAAGAGTAGCCCCCGCTCACCGCAACTAAAGAAAGCCCACACACAGCACTGAAGACCCAAAAAAGCCATAAAAAAAAAAATCATTGCCAAATATGTATTGTGTAATACCTTAAAGGAATTTACAATCTAGTTCAGAATGTAATACAACCTATGAACCAACTCAGTATCCTTAACAGCTCCAACAGGTACCATAGCAGCCTTTGAATTATACTGTCTCAATGTGATTCACTCTCAAATTTTGAATTTTCCTGTCTTGCTTATTCTCCATTTTTTTTTTTTTTTTTTTTTTTTTT